TAAGAAGAGAATAAATGAACTTTAAATTTTGTAGAGTACAAAAAATTTTTGCTATCAATGCACTAAAATTAGTAAAATAAATATGAACGAAATAGTGCCAACCTTCAACTCTGAATCCTAACTGATGACACACCAGGGCAGCCTCCTCATAGCCCCACCCACCAATGCAGACCCGCCCCCATTCTCCGCCTACACATATCTCTAATCGTCCCTGGCTTTGTCCTTCAAGTATCATCCCGTTTTTAGTGAGTCTTACATCACCATCGGCACATAAGAACGTCTGAGATACCGAGGAACCTACATGTGCATGTACATTGTAATAAAAATGAATAAATACAATTATTGCATCATAGCATAGCTGGTGATTTTGGAGGGGTAAAATTTGGCAAAATGATAAGATAATTTTTAGCTTTAGCTTATGCTTGAGATAGCTCATTTTACTTTGGCAAACGACTATCAAAATTCATTCAAAATCACCAGATATATACAGTAGTCTTTTCTCCTTTTCTTACTTGATGAGCAGACCACACTGGCATCACTAGAGTGTGAACTACAGGCACTGCTAGTGCTGCCAGTATTATTTGGACAAAATGACAGGCTAGCTTCATTGCCAGTACAATCTACACCAGACCAAACTATAAGCAGAAAAATAGCAATTAATGTTATTACTAGTACTTTAGTAAACTACGTTGATTACCTGCTCCTTCACCTTTACCAAACCAAGAACCTGCTAATGTTCGGCTGGCCCTTGGGTACCCAAGTACACGACAGATAACCTCAGCATCTGGTAGACCCCATCCTTCGTCACAGACGCTGCTCCTAACTCCATTACGAAGTATCTCAACTCGTCCTTCATTGGAGGAAATACCACCAACTAGGCTCACGGAATCCATTGTAACTGAAAATAGAACATGTACAATAGTTGGTGATTTTATAATTAGAAGTGTTAGGAGTTTTTCAAAATAAAGCTGGATTTGTTTGGTAATTAAAAAATAGAATCACTGCCAAGACCCAGCTAAAATCTTCATTGTCTTACCTGTACATACTGCACCAGCAAATGAAGGACAGTCCTTAGTTACATTCCATTCATTGATGATACAGTAAGAGAGTCGTGTCTCATTTCCAGTACAATTAACACCATCAATCAAAGCACCTGGCTGGATTTCATATTCACTAGTAGTATAAGCACTGCTAGCCCCTGGTATATTAGGAAAATATTTAAGAATTAATATTATTTTCTTATGGGAGAAGCATAAGATAATTATAATAGTAATATAAAATTAGATATTATTATTGCCTTTACCAGTATATCCTAGCTCCCTGCATACAACATAGCT